CGCGTCTTCTTAATCAAGTAAGCAAGGGAAAAATTAGAAAAGATACAAATTTTGCACTAACTACCGTATCAAAATAGGAGGAAGCTGAAACAAATCATGTTGTTTACAACATTGCGAAAACATTATTAGCGACAACAGCAAGCATATTTTACTTCCGCATCCAACACTATTAGCTCATTTGTGCATTTTTGTTTATTGTCGTGGATACAGTGTGATGAGAAAATGCGGAACAAGCGGATAGCATGAAGTAAGGTTTGATTATTTTGGGTAGTTCACGGTTTTGTGCATCAGAAGATAGTCTAAGACTTGTTTAAGGATAAAAAAAATATTTCTTTTTAGTTTAGGGAACTATCAAGCAGAGTATTTATTAGTTCAGATTCAGTAAACTTACGAAATCAAAGTATGACGGTGAGACATATAGCTATGTGTCCTATCTGATATCACAATCTGAGAGGAGACAGATAGTTCTAAAGTTCAACGTTACGCAAGCGTACATTCTTTCAGTCGTTTTTTATTTATCTGTTAAAGACATTTGATTCATTTATCAACTTCTTTTGAACTAAAGGGTATCTGCATAATCACAGAGATGGCTCACAGTGGTACGCGACTAACAAGCTCGTAAAAAAAATGAATTTCATCTCATGGACGACCAACTGATCAGCACTAAAAGTGCAAAATAGCCTACGTCATAGTGGCCGTCACCAAGCGGAACGAGGTCCAGCTTATTCCTCATACACGAACAAGGACTTTAATGAAGTCCGTATGAACATGATGTTTTCGGAGAAGAACGGGGAATCTGTGTGTCTAATTAGATTCACAGAACGAGAAATTTACCGTATTGTCTATCGCGTCGCGTATCGTTAGTTATCGCATTCGTACAGCATTGACTGATTTATGGCCCATAATCGCTGGTGTTCGATACGGTCATAAATCGTGCCGTAAAATTAGTAATAAATGTGTGTGGGGGATGTTCTTTCGCTCACTTATAGATATTTTTTCCTGTCATTGTTTATAGTTTATTCCAGTCTAGCGTTATGTTTGTCTAAGTGTAACAGGAGATTCGTTGTGAGCGTGTAACCCAAGACTCAGAGAACTCAATCGCGTCATTCTAGATCGTGAAGGAATCGAGACTAGATCTTCGATTCGTGCCTGCTCTTTCCAAGACAACCCGAATGACGAAGAGACGAGAGGGATCTAAAGAGCCTGTGTATTTGCAAAGGTCCTTGCGGAAGCAGGACACCAACCACACACGGATGCGAATGCGTTTTGCGTGACCATTTAGGATAAGTGGTTCATG